AGGAAGTTTTACAGCCTTTATTTTAGATGATAATAACATTTTGCATCTGAATCCTGTACTCTCCAGTTGCAATCATACAATGAATTGCTTCCGTTTGATCTACCAGTTCAAAGGCTGCTGTTCTTTAGAGGTACAATCCATTTTTGATACAGAATCACAACTCTTCTCGACACTCCAGGTGTTTCTGTTCAATCTTCTCTAAATGTTTGGCCATTTTTGTAACATCCAACGTGTTCCACAAAAATCAAGCAGCTAGATCAGAAACTACAAGGATATGCAATGGTACAACAGTTACAGGTTGCTCATGGGCAGGTGAGTGCCATCCTGTTAGGAAGAATAAGGATGTTAAAAGTGCATATTAACAATAATAATTGCTTACACTTACATAGCACTTTTCTGGACACTCCACTCAAAGCTCTTTACAGGTAATGGGGACTCCCCTCCACCACCACCAATGTGCAGCATCCACCTGGATGATGCAACGGCAGCCATAGTGTGCCAGAACGCTCACCACACATCAGCTATTAGTGGGGAGGAGAGCAGAGTAATGAAGCCAATTCATAGAGGGGGATTATTAGGAGGCCATGAATGGTAAGGGCCAATGGGAAATGTGGCCAGGTCGCCGGGGTTACACCCCTACTCTTTTTGAGAAATGCCCTGGGATTTTTAATGACCACAGAGAGTCAGGACCTCGGTTTTATGTCTCATCCGAAGGACAGCACCTTTTTATAGTATAGTGTCCCCGTCGTTATACTGGGGCATTAGGACCCACACAGACCACAGGGTGAATGCCTTCTGATGGCCCCACTAACACCTCTTCCAGCAGCAACCTTAGTTTTTCCCAGGAGGTCTCCCATCCAGGTAATGACCAGGCTCAGACCTGCTGAGCTTCAGTGGGTTGCCCGTTGTGAGTTGCAGGGTGATATGGCTGCTGGCTTAAAATTAGACCCACGGAGGCATGAAAGATGACGTTCAAATGCACAGGTATTAAGGTGACATGCTGACTGGAAGCTGCATGATTGGTGAAAGCTGATCCTCACACCACATCTTGCCTGATTTGTCGGGTGAAATTTAGAAATTCATACTGCAGCCCTCCAGCAGCACTGGGAACCCACAGGATGCAGCCTAACTGGTGCGAGCAGGCATGGGACAAATCTACACTACAACAAGTGGGAGCAAGTGGATTTATATCATAAGGAGGGTTGGATAATACAGGACACTTATCTTTCATAACTGTTAAGTACTGAGAAGACCCTACATTGAAATGTTACACTGAAGAGTGAGGTCAGTGACATTTTTATTCATGGTAAATTAAAATATGCTAATTGAAAGTTTTGTGAGTTTGCCCGCTTTTACATAGTACATTACCAAGAAGCCCATTTTTGAGAGTTCTAATGGACTGTTAAAACTGGATTAAGTGAACATTAGCATATTATAATGTTACATAATGCTCAATTACTAGTTTAATGTATGTTATGGTTAAATACATCTGAAACACTGAAATATTATGCCTACAATAAAAACTGTGTCTAGGTGTGGGGGTAGTATTGTTGGACCTAAAATATCAGTGGTACAGGAAGATGTGGTCATGGTCCCTTGCAAGGTCAGGTGGGCACTAAAATACTCGTGGAAGCAGGTGAGATTGACATAGAGAAAACAGTCCCGCAGGCCTCTACTTCATACCCTATATATTAAAAGCATTCTTGTCAAGTCAGCCAGCAGCAATATTACATTCTAGGCTGATGTCATAACTCAAATTAGGTAGGGCTGGTTCTGATCTGGACTGGGATAGGAGATTCTAAAATCGAGTGGAGCTGTACTTCAAATATTGATGGATTGCATCCCCACCTATATGTAAAATTATTTAAGATCCTGCTTAAAGGGAAACTGCAAGGCTACTTTTATGTTTTGGGGTTAGAAAGAATCGCCATTGAGTGCTTTTCAAAGCACAATGAAAGTAAAATGTACACAGTAACATGTAAAGTATGTGCAGCGCCATATTTTGTGATTCAGAATGAGGCAACCAAGCATCTGGTGAGGTGAAGCAGCCTTATTACATTGTAAACAAGCAGGCTTCTGAATACATGTCTTTCAATCCAATAGAAATATTGCTCTCAAGTTGAAGACAGTTTTGCTGACAAATCCAACTTATTTGTTAACTTTATATGCAGATCACACTGGAACATTTCTTTGGTGAAATGTCTGCTGCACGACCTGTACTTATTTGTTTGTAAGTTTTTGTGATACTGTCAACTTAATAAATGGCCTGAGAAACTGTGATTTCTCACTTTAACAAAAATGCAATATGTATGGAAGAAACTAGATTTGTTCATTGAAATGTATTTGCTCCAATTAGTGAATAACACTTATGAAACATACAGTATAATACAATAGACTAAGAACATGGGTTTCAAACAATAGGATGCCATTTGGCCCATCTATCCTGTGTTAATTGATCCAATGATCTCAGCCATCCATTTCTTGAAAGAAACCAGGGTTTCAGGGTTATTAGAATTTATTACACAAAGTGGCATTAAAAAGCAACAAATACTGCTGGTTCCACTACTAAACATTTGTTGCATTTTTAAAGTCTCTTAGTACATTAATGTATTATCAGTTTAGCACAAATCATATTAATCAAATCACAGCAAAAATAAGTACTAGTAACAAAATTAGTGAGATTAAAAATGACCACCTGACACAGACAGGCCATGAAAAGTGGAGAAAAAAACCAAGTCCCATAGTTGGGTCATATCAGCCTGTTTGTAACCGTGATTCTCTAAGCAGAGATGCATACTTGGCTGGGCACCACCAAAGGTAGGATGGGGAAGGTCAGCCAGAACACACTGGGCTTACATGAACCTCTTGGCATTTTCAGACATACAGTGTTACCAGTACGGGAAATGCTACTCTCATAGCTGCGTAGTCTGTAACATTTTTAAAGTTTAGTGGCTTGAGGGTTGGCAGGTCAAAGCAGTCTGCCTGCATTTCCTATTTTTTTCGTGTGCTGTTGCAGGGTTCATAGCTGCAAGCCGAGGTGTGAAAAATAAACAGTTGGTGATTCCACATTTGGTGATTTAACAAAAACAAATAAAATTGTCTCCTGGTTAACCCCAACTGTAATTTAGAATCTCTTCCTAATCTCACTTTTAACAGCTGGAATCTTTTTATAAACTGTTTCCATGTTCGTAATGTATTATATTCAAAAGCTACCAGGTATTGTAAATCTTCCTAGAGGCAGTAGGCATGCACGGGGAGCATAGCTGCACGGAACTGCCTAGCAAGTTATCGAACATACTTGTCGTGCTTGTTGGTATTAATAATCAGTAGAAATGGAGCTTAAGGCATCACTGGCATCTCGTGATTACAGTAGTTCAGGTGGGTAGCTGTATCAGCATGTGTAGGCTGCAAAGGAACAAGTAATAGGTTTATTCCATGCTGAAATGAGAAGAAAGAAAACACAACATTTCGGCCATGGAGCCTGAAGACACATCTGAAGAAGGCTCCACGGCCGAAACGTTGTGTTTTTTTTCTTCTCTTTTCAGGATGGAATAAATCTATTACTTGTTCCATCTCATGATTACCCTCACTCCATATCACTGCTATGTATAACTGCTTTAGAGTTAGCACTACACATTGCACAGCCACAATATAAATCAATAGTGACTGCTACGCAATTGTTTATTAACTATCGGAAAAAGTAACGTATACTGTATTTGCATTTGAGTCAATACACATATGTGGCCCGAAAAGTAAAACATTGCATTTTCTTGACCAAATGGTGTAGGTTTCATACAGTATGTTTAATGTATACTAAATAGCAAAAGGCAGTATCCACATACAATACAAAACAGATTAGTTTTTCAGAAAAAAATGCTCTTGCAATTATATCTTACTGTATTGTTGCAATATATGAGCAATAAGGTACTTGTATTTTCCTGCATGAGACATCCAGTAATAGTAAATGTATGGCAATGCCAAAATATGAAAACTGGACCATTTACCTTTGTTTTGCACAGAAAGATAATAGAAAAATTAAATGCACTGAAATGAATAATAAATAAATATATCTAAAGTTTTATATTAATAAGAACAAAAACATAATAAGATATGGATTCTGGACTTTTGAAAATGTCTATCATCTCAGAATGTTAACATTTATCTCAGACCCTCAGTGTGGGGTCACAAAGAATAACTTGCTGTTCTCAAACCGTTGTAACTGTTCTTAGTTGTCTTCTTACCACTACCTTTGTTGTCTGATGTTCTGACACTGCTGTTTTCTATTATCAAGTGTTCATTTTTCTTAAAATTGACTTATAAACAAATATAGAATGCAAAATGCATCTTCATAGTACAGTATTGCTTGAGCCTAAGCCTAACAATTTAGGGATTTGGCATAAGGCAGTAGCACACCCTGGATGGCATACCATTCCATCACAGGGCGCACATGTATAAATACAGGGAATAATATGAGGAAAGGCCATAGCATGCCTTTGACCTAGGGTAAACCCCAGAATACCCAGAGAAAACCCATCAAGAAACTGGGACAACACGTAAACCTGACCTAGAAGGTGCTACAGACCAGAGATAAGCCCAAACTCAGAGACTTAAGACTCTTAGAAAGAGCTGTGAGGCTGCAGGGCTAGCTGCCACACCAAGGTTTCCACTAACTAAAATATGTCAAACATCCTTTGATATTAAAATATTTCAAACCTTTGTAGGTCAAAATGCGTCATTTAGTACAAAGATATGAATTATAATTGCAACAAAGTGAAACATTAGGGTCAAAGGCACCTTAAAACCGACACTGTTCTAAGGAATAGTGATAACATGTATAAGTTGATATTACTCTCACAAATTCTCTGTGACATAAAGCTCCCGTATTTAATACAAAACACATTACTAGTGAGGCAAAAATGTAGAAGTAGCAAGCCCTGCTCCTTTAAAAGTAAATTAGGTGTGGGTATTTCCTTCCACTCTATATACTATAGGCTCCCTACCTTCAAGTTTAGAATGCTGAACGGCTGCCTCAGGCTGTGTCTGAAAAGAGTTTCCTGGGTAGAAGAAGGATGGATAGAAAGAGTGGGATTTCCTCTGCTTCAGAATATGCTGAAGGAGCTCATACAAAACATCACCTGCCAATGAAAAGAAAGTTATTTCAGCTGCTGGGATAGTCACTGTCTAACTTGTCACCACATTTATCCATTTTTTATTCAACTGAAAAAAAATAGAAAATGAAATCAAAACTTTTCACCCTTATTACAAGGTGAGCACTTAAATGGATTTTCTAACCTAACATGATTTATATTTCATATTTCTTAAGGTTGACCATCAAAATAAGTGCATCCTCATAAAAAAAGAAAGATCAAATTATAGGATTGTTCAAGACCCTCTAGTGCTGACAATACACTAGTATGTCAAACAATTATTGTCTGGATATTCAATAACAGAAAAAGAAAACTTAAATTAGGAGTGTGATAAAAATAATGTTTTAAGGTCTGTACAGTATTTCAGATTTCATGCTCTTACTAACATTGTTTCTAACTATGAATATATCATAGTATACTGTTGACCCAGGGTATATTAAATTGAATTTTACTTTTGTGAAACACAATATTTTGAACATCACAATTAGTGTGTACTACTAGGGAAACATTATTTTATAAGACTAGCTTTTGTTCAATAATCTACAGAGAAGCTCAAAGAAAACATTTCCCAGCAAGGAAGTGAAGAAACTTCCTTTTTCACTTCTCACTTCTAAATTTCTAGTTCATAATATTATGAAAAAGACCTGCCCTTCAGGGAATTTTTTTAATTTTACAGGCAAAAGATGTGGTGAGTGCACATATGAGATGACATTCTCATACTTCCTGCTTGTCAGTTTACCAAAACGGTTTTAACTTCTCCCACAGAAAAAAAAATCCTTTAAGAAGAAGTATATTGTTATATTTTTGGTCATCTTTGGGAAGGAACAAGGTCTTAAGAAGTTTAAAAAAAACGAATCTAAGGGAGATTTCAGGAACCACATGTACTACTGGACAGTTTGGCAACTGCAATTAGGGTCTAGCAGTGATAAATGACTTTACAGCCTGTAGGATAAGACAATTGTTTTCAATATCCACTTAGTTTATTCCTATTAATAAACTCAAGTGGATATAATAGTATCATTTTACCTTTACATTTATGCCTGTAATGCAATTTTACCAGGAGTCTTACCAGAATGCGGGGACCTATAGCGGAAATCCTCTTTGGTCAGCAGTAGAAGCGCCTTGCCATTCATTTCAAAGGTGTTGTTGTTAATAGGATGCAAGGAAAACTCCTTTTCAGCCCATTTCAACCACTGTGACACATCATCTCTGCTCCAGTACACCGGCTGTAAGCCTGAGTAGAAGAATTAAAATCAGAAAGTCTTCATAATTACATAATTACGAAAAGGGTTACTGAATTAATCATTCTTAATTAACACTTTACTAGGTTCTGTTTACTTACCAGCAGGAGTTGAAGCTGAACCTATTCAAAGAATATTTATTTCTTTTGACTCAATACCTGTGTGGATGATATTTTATATGAATCTGTCAGTGTGCCGACCCTACCTTCAACTTACATGAAAATATCTGCTCTCGCCAGAATATTTGGGATATTTTAAAAATGAATGAAAATCACATAATGACCATGTACCTACTGTGTGGCAAACTTTACATAGCTTGTTCTTCTAATTTTCTTTTTATTCAAGAGATTTATCTTTCTGAAATTAGACATTTACACTGTTCCAAACTGAATATGGAAACCATTGCAGACAGCTTTATAAATTGTGCACCTCTGCCTTAAGACATTATTGCACGTGTATAGCTTGTCATTCAATCCAAAATCTGCAAATTTATTCTTACTTTACTGAAGACCAGGTATACAATGAACAATAGTTTCTCAAGCACCAAGTCCAAGGACCTCACTGCCCACATCTATTAGATTCTGTGACTCAGAGACTCAGACTCTGTAACTGTCACCATTTTCAAAATTCACTTAAAGGACTACCTTTACACCAAATCTTATTTTTATTCTTTTTGCACTAAATCAATTTCTTGTGCTTTATTTTTCCCCACTTCTTTTTGCTTTTGTATGAAATGTATTCTACTGTAAAATGTTGATCTTCTTAAAAAGCTCTTACTGTAAAATGTTGATCTTAAAAAGCTCTAACTGAAAATACAATGTTACACAGTTTATATTCAGTATAAATGTATATATATATACATACACATTTTCTGAATGTCTTATTTCTTTTAATAAAAGGTAACAATAAACAACTCCAGATAAGGGATTTAACTAAACATATAATAATAAAAGTGACAGTTCCTTGTTCCATGATTGTGCAAATAAAAGCAGGTGAAGTCACATTCATTTCACATCCTTCAACAAAAGAAGTCAGAATACTTATATGACTTTTATTTACCCAAAATAAAACAATTTATTTAAAAGCTGTTCTTTTGTATCTAACAAAAATCAATTTTAACTCTAACATATGGAGGTATTTTTAGCAAAAGCTCCTTTCTTCTTTTTTCCTGTACTAATGAAAGGCTCCTTTCAATTAATCCCTTCTCTTTCACACTGATGCTATCATTTGTGCTGACATCTTGACTCCAAATTCTTCAACTAGTTCCTGAACATCTAATACCTGAAGCTCTTACTCTTCATAATTCCAGCTTCACTGTATAAGTTTCTATAGCAGGAAAAGCTTGATTTTCAAGTTTTAGTTCCTTGTATACCAAGTGCAGATCAATTACTTTATTTGCTTTACAACATCCAAATAAGACCACAAGAAAATAAAAAAAACACTGCATTTTAACATTTTACCAATCCGTTATGCAAATTAACTTGAAAATGCATGTAGGTTTATTCTGTGTGGAAACACACCACTGTAATCAAAAATGTATATGTATAATGTTTGTGATTTTACCATTAATCACATGACTTGCATGCAGCAGGAAATTAAACACTTGAAAAAAATAAGCTTTTCAGCCTGCTGTACTGAAATGTACAGCTTTAGAGCTCTTCAAACTGAGGACCATTTCTGTGGTAGATTTTATTAATATTGTGAGTAATGACTGATCCTGTGTTTTGCACACAGATAACAGGATATGACTCATCGCTATGCCAAAAATCAAATGGAGGAATATGTGCCAATATCACGATAAACCATGTAAATGCTATCGTCCACACTCTGAGTAATGGTGCCTCTAGGGCAACAATGGCAAGAAAAGATACATCATAATCTTCTCATGGCACTTTGGAATTGTCAAGAGCAATAAAATTTGCCTTTACCCCTTACAGGACTGTGCTATACGTAAACCTGTTGTATGTTTGAGGTTCAAATAAAAAAAAAATCATAACCCAGTAGTTTGTATATAAAGCAATTCATAGATCATTCAGAAAAGAATATTTCAATTCAATAAGGCTGGGCATTATAAAAAGATGTGTGAAAAATTACATTTTAGAAATCTAAACCTTGACAGTATACTGTCTTGTGATAACTGGAGAGCACAGGTCCTGTCAGTTCTACTCTCCATATTTAGGGTATTTAGCAACATTAGTTCTGTTTTAAAAACTTAATACTCCCTCTTCGTTCTGTGTAAATATGCAATTTTATCCTTAAATATGTCACATTCCCAGCAAAAACTGCATGTACTGTGTTTTAGTCACACAATTGTAGCTGCATATTACTATTTTTTCTTTTTCAGTCTAAGTCCTTTCTAACAACATATTTATGTTGGCTGCACTATTCTTTTTTACTTTGTCATCACCTTATGTAGGAAGAAACTGTTTTTCTTGTATAAATGTCATCTTAGTGTTTTAAGTATTTTACAGTATTGAAAAACAATTATGTCAGCCACAGACTGCCTACCTGAGGGTGCTGCACATTTTTTAAAGACAAACAATTACTGCAATAAAAAATAATGACGTTTGGAAAATATGGAATTAGTGGATTCGCAATAAAATGATTAAACATTAACTAAACTTAAATCTTAAATCCTTAAAACCTAGAATCCATAGAGAATAAATATACTTCCTACTACATGATCTAGTTTAAAATACACGATGGAGTGATATAACCTTAAAAAATGTCATTCTGTGTTGCTTATAAAAAATGATTGAAACAAAATAACTTTTTCCATGTATGGTTAATTTCCTATGCACCGATATACCTTATTTGTATATAGAGCTTGAGAGAGAAAATTTGTGACGCCAATCCAGTCCACAGAAAAAGCTAAGGTAAATGTCAGATTTCAACTAAAAATATTGAAAAAACAAGGGACATTTTCACACGAAAATCTACCCTTTTTATCAAATCAGTTACCCTCAGACTCTTCTGAGGGAACACACAAGACTCATATGACTAACTTTTATATTTATGCAAGTAAATAAACAGAGCCAAAAGAATTTTAAATAGGCATAATTTTTTGCTTACACAAATTTAGTAAAATTAAGAAATGGAAAGTCACTCAAAGAGGTGTTGTGGAATGATTGTCAAAGGAGAAGGAGTTGTAGAATAACAGTGTAAGTACCACTGTACAGTATAGTCACTGTATGAAGTGTACTACACAGTGGCCGTTGTGACCTCACAGACCTCTCTGTGTTGGTTTGCAACAGGTTCCTTTCCATCTCCTAAGCGTATGCAAGTTAGATTGGTTATTTCAGATTGTGCGCCCAGAGTTTGTTCCCAGGTCCCTCTTGGTGAACAGAACATGGCATGATGAGCTGTCACCCAAACATACAGTATAGTGGAAAGAACTTGTACTGCACTTCAGCAGATGACCTCCACATTTTCTAGTCTGACCTTTGTTTACTCTTGATTTTGACAGATATTAGCTTGCCGGTTACTGCAAGGACTTTCAAGGGTTAGGTTTAATGCAATGACAACATTTAAAATAAACTGAAATTACTATTATAAGACAGCTGTAACTCTCTGTAGATTGTCTAAGTTTATTTAGACACGTCATCTGTTTTGTACTGGCAAATTCCCTGGTTCTGAAATACTTAAATATTACTTTGGTAAAGAATATATGTTAGTTTTATTTTTTATTAATAAATATATGATCTCCTATAGTTTATTCACTTAAAATAACACCATAATCTGCCGCTTTATTTGTACTATTTTGAAAAAACAAACCATGTGATATGCGCACTGTGAAGGCATTATGTCTGTGGTTAGGTTTTCCGTTATCTTTCCTTCACGTGGTTTCTAAAAGGAAGTTTCCCCAGAATGTCCATCACAGGAAATCTCCTGTGGACAAAGAGTTATCAGTATGGTTTATATTCATCTTTAATTGCTTGAGAATTGAAGTAGAGTACAAATAGAGGTGAAAACTATTAAGAACTGCAGCTCTTATTTGATAGTAGAGGGTACACGGACAAGTTACTGCATGTTTTGTATTTGAATAGACATTTATGCAATGTAGTGTACTGAAGCAGATGTCTACATTTGACATTCCTATAAGAAAATAAAGAACAAAATGATCCTCAACAGAAATTGAGTCTGTTATTGTTCACTGGTAGCATTATTTGTTTTTAACATTGGTGAAATGTTTACAGTTAATACATACACACTATTTGAAAGAGATAATGATTTTTTTCATTTTATGATTATATATATTGTATACGTTTTACCGTCAAAACAAACACTTCTGGATATAACCCTTAACTTACTTCTCACATTTCAGAAATGCTTAATATTAGATACAATTCCAAGAAGATGTTCATTATCAATGTTACATGTTAACATTACCTGATTGCGTCATTTTCATGTCTTAATTACTTTTTTCAGTAATAGAAATACCCAATAATTATTTGTTAAAAGTGAGACAGTGGTGCAGATTTGAAAAACCTAAACTTTAGAAACAAAACAAACCCAATCTCATTCGATGCTGAAGTGTGGATAAAGAGGTGGTTGAGTTAAGACACTGGTGGATTTTAACCCTAAGTTTGTCCAAAAAACTAGACGCTAGAACTAAAGTAACCAGCAGCTGTACTTTTTCATATTTCCAACTCATGTTAGCTGATTATGATTAATTACTTTGATTGCTAACAAGAGGAGAAAATTAGTTTGTTTTATTTTTATCATAAACTTTGGCTAATTTTTATATAGATTCACGACTGATATATCAAAAGGGTTTTCAAGAAGAAATTGTGACACCCAGGTAGATTACTTCTGTAAAAAAAATTGTTTGGTTTAGCAATGTTTGGATAAAGTAACTGCACTAAAAAGAAAAAAAGCATTATCCCTTAAATATCATACTAAATATATAATAATGCATTAAATCCTTATCCACTTATCACATTAAGATAATAGCCATGATCTTTAGCACAGCATGCAAATTAACTAGATTCAT